AGAGCAGGTTAAAGAATATTCTGATAAACTGAATGTATTCAAGTTGGCAGGGCCTGATGAAATTCATCCTAGGGTACTTCAGGAACTAGCTGCACCAATCTTGGAACCAATAACAATTATCTTTGAGAACAGTTGGAGAACAGGTGAGCACTGGAAAAGGGCAAGCCTAGTACCTATCTTTAAGGGGGGAACAGAGAGGACCCAGGTAATTATAGACCAATCAGCCTAAATTTGATATGTGGAAAGATACTACAACAAATGATTAAATAATCAATCTGTAAGTACCTAGAGGATAATAGGATTATAAAGAATAGCCAGCATGGATTTGTTAAGAACAAATCAGGCCAATCCAACCTAATTTCCTTTTTTGACAGGATTGCTAGCCTAGTGGATAAGGGGAAGCAGTAGATGTGTAAGTAAAGCTTTTGACACGGTCCCCAATGACATTCTCATAAGCAACCTAGGGAAATGTCATCTCACTGCAATTACTATATGGTGGGTACATAACTGCTTGAAAGACCATATTCAAAAAGTAGTTATCAATGGTTCGCTGTCAAACTGGGAGGGTGCATCTAGTGGGGTCCTGCAGCAGTCAGTCCTGGGTCCAGTACTATTCAATGTTGTCATGAATTACTTGGATAACAGAGTTGAGAGTATGCTTATAAAATTTGCAGATGACACCAAGCTGGGAGGGGATGCAAGCACTTTGGAAGACAGAATTAGAATTTAAAGTGACCTTGACAAACTGGAAAATTGGTTTGACATTAACAAGATGAAATTCAATGAAGACAAGTGCAAAGTATTTCACTTAGGAAGGAAAAATCAAATGCACAACCACAAAATGGAGAATAACTGGGTAGGTGATAGTACAGCTAAAAAGATCTGGGGGTTAGAATTAATCACAAATTGAATATGAGTCAGTGTGATGTAGTAATGAAAGAGGCTAATATAATTCTGGGGTGTATTAACAGGAGTGGTGTTTGTTGGACAAGGGTGGTAACTGTCCCACTGAACGCGGCACTAGTGAGGCCCCAGCTGGAGTCATGCGTGCAATTGTGGTTGCACACTTTAGGAAAGAGGTGGACAAACTGGAGAGAGTTCAGAGGAGAGCAACAAACATGATAAGAGGTTTAGAAAACCTAAACTACAAGGAAAGGTTAAAAAAACTGGGCATGTTTAGTCTTGAGAAAAAACTCAGGGGGGACGTAAGCACAGTCTTCAAATATGTTCAGGGCTGTTATAAAGAGGACTGTGATCAATTGTTCTCCAGGTCCACTGAAGATGGGACAAGAAATAATGGGCTTAATCTGCAGCAAGGGAGATTTAGGTTAGCTATTAGGAAAAACTATCTAACTTTAAGGCTCATTAAGCACAGGAATAGGCTTCCAAGGGAGGCTATGGAATCCCCGTCACTGGATGCTTTTACGAACAGGTTGGACAAACAAGTGTCAGGGATGGTCTCTAGGTTTCCTTGGTCCTGCCTCATCACAGGGGGCTGGACTTGATGGCTTCAAGTTCCCTTCCAGCCTTCCAGCCTTATATTTCTGATTTTATGATATTTCAGCAGGAAGTCCCATAACTGGTGAGATAAAGCATGTAAGTATCTGGCCAGAATTTTCAGTTACAATTGGCAGAATCAGCTTTGAAGGGCACCTTCCTCATTCAAGGGCTTTTGCTTTTAAGATTAGTGTTCATAGTCTAATCATGCTACACTTAATTTAATTCACTTTGCTGTGAACTCATTAAATTCTTTTCTTTTAGATAGAAACCCTACCATGGCTTGGCAAGGGAACAGGAAACCTGTGCTCACTACTACAGAGTTCTGAATGCACTTGGCTTATTTAACCTGACAGAGTGATGGATATTGCAGCAAATTACAGCACATCTCATTTACATTCCTATGCTGAATCACTTTTTGCTTTACACTTAAAGAGTTGAATTTACTCACAGTTGAATTTACTAAACATATAGGGAGAGAAAAACAGACTCTGATTCCAGGTTGGGCATTTGTGTCTTGGATAAATTGTTTTGTGTTATATCTTTAGAAATCCAATAACATATATATATATTTGATCATAAATCTCCAGGAATACTTTCATCCAATTTTAATTACTTAGGGTCGAGCCTTAAGTTAATAAGGTCAGTAAGAGGTTTTTCTGAAGTCCTTATTATCATCTGAGTCTTCTACAGTATGCTGAATAGAGAGCGAGGACTTCAGGGTGTGGCCTTCACCCACCTAGTGTCAAATTTGTGAATATACACTTGCAAAACCCTCAAAATTTGCTTTGCACAAGTCTCAAAATTTGCTTTGCAAGAATATTTATTCTAGCAGCGCTCAGCTGCCAAAATGTTCATGTGAAATGGTTATAAATACAGTTCAGTAACATTCACATTTTAATTAAAATAAATGCTTGTGGACAATTATTTTCTCCCATTATTTGCTCAATAATACTTGTGACTTTCAAAAACATTCACCACCTTTGAGGTCAAAATTTCCTATATTTGCCTTCTTCCTCAAGATGCATTTTAGGAAAATTTGAGCTAATCCCTTTATCCATTTTTGAGTTATGGTGCAGTGGAAAAAATAAACTTCTCACTTAACAAAAATTCTAACATTAGTCTATTTGAGCAGAGCTACAGTAAGAAACAGCTGAAGTTTCAGCCTAACATTTGGCATAACTATAGACTTCTTTGAGGAATAGTGTATTTGATTGGTTGGGGCGGGGGATGGTTTTGATTACATAAAAATTAGGTTTCAGAGTAACAGCCGTGTAAGTCTGTATTTGCAAAAAGAGAAGTGAGCTGTAGCTCACGAAAGCTTATGCTCAAATAAATTGGTTAGTCTCTAAGGTGCCACTTGTACTCCTTTTCTTTTTATAAAAATTAGGAACATTGAAACTATGCACTGAGCAAGTGCATGAGATTCATTCATTAGGCACTCATACCAAGACTTCAAATTTTAGGCCATGTCTACACCTACAAGCTTACAGGGGCACAGCTGTACCAATATAGCCGTGCTGCTGGAAAAGTGCTCATGTAGCTGCATTATGCCGACGGGAGAGAACTCTCCCGTTGACAGAATAAAAACAGCTCAACGAGCGGTGGTAGCTGTGTCTGCAGGAGAGATTCTCCTACCGACAGTGCTGTGCACACGAGCGCTTATGCCCGCAAAACTTATGTCGCTATGGGGTGTTTTTCTCCACACCCCAGAGTGACAAAAGTTTTGCCAACCTAAGTGCTAGTGTAGGCATAGCCTCAGTATGTGGCTGTATGGTTTTATTATAATAATATGGGCCCAATCCTGAAGTTCTTATTCAAGCAAAACTCAGTAAGAGTCAATGTAACTTTTGCTTACATAAAAATTTAACGGAGAAACTTAGTCTCAAGGGACAGGATGCTGCAAAACATTGTAGGTTTAGGAGGAACAGCCGTGTTAGTCTGTATTCGCAAAAAGAAAAGGAGTACTTGTGGCACCTTAGAGACTAACCAATTTATTTGAAGTGAGCTGTAGCTCACGAAAGCTCATGCTCAAATAAATTGGTTAGTCTCTAAGGTGCCACAAGTACTCCTTTTCTTTTTGTAGGTTTAGTATCTTCCCAGGTGATAAAGCTGGCAGCATTTTATAATCATTTACAAATATGGTTGCAGAATATTGTCAACAGTAGCTTTAACCCTCAATACTATGTACCTTAAACATTTTAATTTTTATGACTCTTCATTATTCTCCTGTTTGAGTTCTTATTGTGTGCAAGTATTAAAGGTACCATGTACAACTCTCATAAGTTACAAAAAATAATTTGAAAATAAAACCTAGCTACAGAAACATGCCTTCCCCAAAGCAAGAAAAATAATGAAAAGGTTCCATAGTATTCTGTACAAAAAGCAAATATTGTTCTAAGTGTTTGCATGCAAATGATTAAACATCAGAGTATTAAACTTTTCACACAAAAAAGTGAATTGCCATTGAACAAAAGACTCTAAAGAGAAGTAGAAACATTTTTCAGTTGCATGACAATGCAAGCAGGAATTAGTACTTTTTATAAATTCTCATGTGTGCTTCCTGTTCCAGTTTGTTTAGTCACAAGTACTGAATTAGATTTCTGTTGGCTGATTGCATTTACTATAAACAGGTTTTGTGCTTTGTTTAAATACATCAGGCTACTTAACCCTTGCATAGGCAGGTAAGGTAAAGGGGGTGGGAAGGGAAAGTTTACTCTCTGGCATGCTGTTTCTTTTGAGGTTAAAAAACAATTGTCAGAGAGATCACAGAGAGGTTAAAGGAGGGCTTGGCTGTTGTTTCTAAAACTAGTTTCTCTTTTGTTCCTTTTCTAGAAACTAGATGTAACTTCAGGTCAGAAGGGGTTGAAATGCGTCACTTCTTTGACAAGCACAACCCCTGTATTGATGAAACTGGATCAGAAAAGTTTGTGGGTTTCTCCTAGTGCAATACCTTTCTGTGCTAATTCAAGCCATGCTATGCCTCAGGTGAGTACTATTGATTTGTTTTCCTTTAAATCTACATCTATATATTGAAAGCCTACATTGTTTAATAGCGGGGGAAAGAAACCCATGATTTAACATCTTGTTTCTTAAACACTTTGTGCAGAGATAAAGCAGGTGGCTCAGCAAATAGGTGGTTCCATTTTAGTGTGGAGGATATAGTCTCCCTCTCTGATATTCACATTGGAACTCCACCTTTAAAAAAAAAAATACAAACATGGGGTGTCAAACAATACTTAAACTGTTTCCAAGTGTCTCTCTCATGCCAGCCTTTACATCTCTTCAGGTTATCTTTCCCCCCTCCTACCCCCGATTTTATTTTTTTTAAAAAGCAAAGGTATCTGCACTCCTAAAACAACAGGAATGCTGCGCTGGCCTTGAGCCAGCAAACGCTCAGTGAACAGGATAAAATTTCAGTTCAGATTTACGGGAAGTTGCTGGTGTTGGGAGTAAAAATCTGGTTTGGTGAGTTTAAGGGCAGGGAGTATACAAGAGACAACCTTGCTACTGTGAGCAGCGAGAACAAGAGAGGGGGAAGAAAAAAAGAACAGAGAGATGAGACACTTAACATTTTCCTCTCACAGTCACAGTGTGTGCTCCTGAGTCCTGAGATATCGCAGGCTTTACCAAGCCAGTAGGCAGAAACTGGGCTCTGGTAGGGCAATATCTTAGCTTAACTTTCATGCTTTATGTCTAGTCAGGAATTTAGTCTAAAAAAGTGCTTTCTGATTAGCACTCCTGTTTAGTACTTTGGAATGTGCAGCTTAGGTTAGTGAGAATCAAGGGTTTTAGCTTAGCTGGTATTACTAATTACAAGTTTCTCTGTATGCATTTCAGTGTTCAGAAGGTCTAAACAGGCAGGGAGTGAAAGGAGGGGGTTAAACAGCATTGGAGGGAGTTGCTCAACACTCCTCATTTAGCAGAACATTAGAAAAAGTAAGAAGATGCATTGCTGCCCAGAAACTCTTTCTTCTCTGTGAATGGTGCTTAAGTGTAGAGACTGTCTTCAGAAACACAATACAGGTAGGTAAATTTATGTGATCACTGTGCTGTCCCTGTGTCCTTACTGCAGGGTTTATGCTCTTGTGATTGTTTTAAGAACATGGTGGGACGTAAGTTATTTTTGAAAAAGTGTTTTAAATAATTTCTGTAAAAAACAGAAACAAAACCACAAGCTGAACTAAGTTTTGATAAATCCTTTCAAGTGATTGAGCAATGGACTAGATTCTTTCTTTAAAAACTTGTAAGATTAGAGAGGAAACGAGAAATATCAACTAAGAGAAGACTGAAAAGTGATTTCTGGTACATACACTATTTCAGAAGTTAAGTTTAAAAGATTATGTACATCTTCATATCAAACAAATTATAACACACCAGTATCTTCTTATCTGATGTGTTAAATAGTGTTGAAGTAAATATGTTTGTGTTTTTTTTTAGTTAAAATCATAGTCTGTGCAGAACATATAGTGGTGATATAATTCTGATGGATGACTAGTTGGGATCTCTGATTAGAGACATTAAAATGAAGAGAACAAGACTTTTCTAATGGATATTTAAAAATAAAATATATTATGGTAGATCTCACCTTTATATGCCTTTAGTTAGATTTTTGTGTGGTTAGATGAGGATTGTTGGGGCGTGTCTCTCTCTCTCTATGCATGTAAAAAGAAACACTTTGTTTTATAAATTAAAATTATACAGTTCATTTCCCATTGGGGCTTTAAAATAAAGATTGGAGCTAAAGTCACAGAATTTTAAAAGTTGGATATAGCAAAACAAAATATTAGAGTTTGAAATCTGCCTTAAGTTCTACCTATGCCACCCAGATGAGGTCACAGTGCAGAACTTGGCCCCAGGGGCTAGTTTGAATGTAATAGTGGTGTCTTTATGAGCCTTCCAGATTTATGTAATAATAATTTTGGACAATCTTGCAATATTTCTTAACAAGTCTAATGCTGAGTTCACATGATGGTAAGGGGGAGAAAAGAAAAAAAAAACATAATCAGGCTGTTGCAACAACTATTGCCTGAGAGATATGCAACATTATATACTAAACATCTCCAAGTACAGCAGGTGCCAGATCATAAAGGTGAAAGATCACTTGTGGTAATAAGCAGAGCCTGGTATAAAATTGGAAAACTGAAGACAATATGCACTCTTGAGAAAGGAAAATAAGATAACACCAGAAATATACTGCTATTTGGAGTTTATCTAACAGAGATTCCTGTTTAAATTACTAACAAGGCTAAAAATCAAACTATACAGTCAAAATAACATTAGAGTCTGAAAAATAAATTAGGGGAAAACATTTTGCTTGTATTCTCAGTTTCTCTCCCGCTCTTATATTCCGTCACTGGGCCAAGTTCTTCTTTCATTCATGTTTTACCCCAATGAAGTAACTTCATTGACTTCAATGTAGCTATTCCTGATTTACAATCTGTCTGAGATGAGAATTGGGCCCTCTCTCCCTCATATATCTTGGGATTTCAGACACACACAACAAGGTAGGCTAGCTTTGGGATGTAAATATGACTCCTAATAATATCTGTACTTTAATGTTCCGGTCTAGTCTGAAAAATCAATGTTTGATTAAAAAAATTAAAGGAATGTGTTGTACATCAGCAAAGTATTAAAAAAAAGAAAAAGAAAAAAAAAGCTAAATACTTTTGGATAAGGGTACTTATTTTAAGCAGCTAAGATGGCAAATGTTTACAGGAGTATTGTTTCAAGAGAAATTTTATCTAAGGGCCTGAGCCTGCCAGGATGTCCACACATGGAGCCCTGTTGATTACTGTAAGACTTTTTTCATAGGTGCAGGAGTCCACCTGCATGGAGATTACTGGAGGATCAGGGTTTAAGTCTGTGGCCAATAGCCATCCATATCTCTAATGTTTGGTGTTATAATTTGCTATTCTACACATTGTACAGAAGTTGTATTATACTGATGTAGCCATCACTGTCATATGATAGAAGCCTGTCTGTGAAAGCTGTATAAGTGTCTGATATCAGGGAAATTCATATGACTGCGTTCATTAGGATTTTTTAAATGTCTGCTGTACTTTCTCTCTCTGTTAACTAAAAGCAGGTGCTCGGATCTAGTTTGAGCTGGTTGTCCATGTAAATATCTAATAACAAAATTTAGATGGCACACTATTTAGAGTTGAACACTATTAAGGCTATTCTGAACAAACATACTCGTGCTCATATTGGTTTAGAATAATGAGTTATGTATGTATTTTCCTGGACTCTGGCAATTGTTATATTACACTCCTCTGAATGTATAATTTCATCTCCCACTTTTCTAAAATTCAAACTGTTTTCTCTGAGTATGCATGACTGAGTTATCAAATTAAGAATGATCCAAATTACTAAGAAGTATACTAAAAGTATCTGCGTTACTACTGACAAACAATAGTAAAGACGTAAGGGCCAAATCCTGTTCCTACTGAACACAGTGGGAGTATTTCTATTGATTTCTATGAGACCGAGGAGAAGGATTTGGCCCTTAGTGAGGAAATACATCTGCCAGGCCTTTAGTAGTTAATTTTGTATACCGATAGTTATGCATGAAGATTGTCTTTCTCTCTTTAAGGACATTTACATCTCAATATTGGAGATGAGTATAAAGCAAAAGCCCTAATCTGAACACCCTGCGACCTAAATTATACTTGGTACACTTGGAACTGTGTTCCCATCTATCATTTTTCAATTTTCATGTTTCTAAAACTGACCAGTGCATTCTACACACTTGTAGTAAGGACACTGCTTGTTATCTTTCCCAGTAAGAGGCCGAAAAGAATATTTCTTTTTTGTTATTTTTTTTTTAATAACATGGTTCTGGGTACACCTAGCTCCTGCCAAGATCAGGCACATCTTCTCAGTATCCTTGTCAAGACAATATAGGCTTTGTATAGTTAAGACTTGCAAGGGTTTTGGTGACACAGTAAACTCAATAGAGCACAACAACTTCTTATTAACTGCAAAGTCAACAGCCAGCCTCATGTTTGGGGGCTTTTTTGTTTTTTTTTTTTACATTTTATCTGCTGAAAATCAGAGAGGAACTCTCTCAGCAGAGAGGACATTTTTTTAGGATGTACTTTTCACAAGATAACATTAAGACTGTAATTTTTTTTTTTTTACCTAGTTAAGTTGCAGAAGATTTGAGTGGGGGTACAGGCAAAGGTGGGATATTTTGGAGAATGAAGAAGCGAAACAAACTACAAATGCATCAGACCTATTGCAAATAGAATATTAAAGAGCCATTCAGATAGTAAAAAGAAAAGGAGTACTTGTGGCACCTTAGAGACTAACCAATTTATTTGAGCATGAGCTTTCGTGAGCTATTTTCAATCACTAACTAAGGTTGCCAACTTTCTAATCACACAAAACTGAACGCCCCAGCCCTGCCCCCTGCCCAGCCCCTTCCCCAAGGTCCCACCCCACCCTACCCCTTCTCTGAGACTCTGCCCTCTGTTCGCTCCATCCCCCCTCGCTCTGTCACTCGCTCTCCCCCACCCTCACTCACTTTCACTGGGCTGGGGCATGGGGTTAGGGCACGGGAGAGGCTGAGGGCTCTTGCTGGAGGTGCGGGCTCTGGGGTGAGGCTGGGGATGAGGAGTTTGAGGTACAGGAGAGGGCTCTGAGAGGGGAAGGGGGTGGGAGTGCGGGGGGTTCTGGGCTGGGGGTGTGGGCTCTGGGTTGGGACAGAAATGAGGGGTTCAGGGTACGGGAGAGGGCTCTGGGCTGGGGCAGGAGATTGGGGTGTGGGGCAGTGAGGGCTCTGGCTGGGGGTGTGGACTCTGGGGTGGAGCTGGGGATGAGGGGTTTGGCGTGCAGGAGAGGACTCTGGGCTGGGGCAGGGGTCCCGGTAGCCCTTACCATGGCTGCCAGGTCCCTTTGGTCCCTAGGTGCAAGGGCAGCCAGTGAGGGTCTGCACAGTGCCCTTGTGCCTGCAGGCACCGCCCCCGCAGCTCCCACTGGTCGCGGTTCCTGACCATTGGGAGCTGCTTAGCCAGCACTTGGGGCTCGGGCAGCGATCAGAGCCTTCCTGGCCGCCTCTGCACCTAGGGGTCACAGAGTCCCGGTGGCCACTTCCAGGAGCCGTGTGGAGGCAGGGCTGTGCTGCGGACTGGACTTTTAACGGCCCAGCTGGCAGTGCCTACCGGAGCCGCCAGGGTCCCTTTTCACTCAGGCGTTCCAGTTGAAAACCGGACACCTGGCAACCCTATCACTAACAAACTGGGCTGGATTTAACTAACAACCCAGAGGCAGAAAGCTCTGTATCCTATTTACCAAGCCTTGGAGTTATCTAGTCCCTACTTTGTTGAAGCACCATCCCAATTGTAATGCATCTTACAGAATGAATGAGAAGAACTCCATGTACAGACCATAGAGCTAAAAAAGTTAAGGATCAAGTTTAGCTCTTTCCCACCTTATGCAAACAATGTGGGCCTGATCACTCTCTTGTTTACACTGGTGTAAATTAGTAGTAACTCCACTGAAGTCAGTCTACTGTACTGGTGCAAAACCTGTGTAAATGAGGAGGAGTATAAGCACTAAGTAGGAAGTAGAATGACTTGCTTCATCCAAGGCAGGTTTAGGTTTGTCTGTGTGTAAACAGTAACAGCCAGCTTGGATAAGTCACTGTATAAATATCAAATTATCAGGGACAATCACAAAGCACTTCATAGAAATGTACTGAGCTACATAGGGATAATAGAATACAGCTGCCTCTGGAGTGGAAAATATCACCCATTTTACACCATCAATTACTTCTTTTTTTTTTTTTAAGAGGGCAAATGAAACTGTAGGCAGACTCCAGTTACCCAAGCTCCGACTAGGCCCAGATGCCAGGGTTAATACATCCACTCTTGTGAAAAATGCCAAGGCATCTTTAATGACCACAAGATTTCCCCCCAACTAGCATTTTCTTGAAAAAGCCATTTCCATCTAGACCTGCAGTAAACCTTTATACATGCATGGACGAGTATGTTTAGTTAAAGACTGCAGAGTAGACCAACAAT